TTGAAGAGTTCTGCCTTCCGGTGAGAAAACACACATAACAAAAGCTGAACTGACATTGGATAGTTGTGTTATAGTTATATGATGCATTCATGACATCTGAAATCTCTCTCCAACCTCAGACCAAGAAATATGCAGATGTCATAATACCTCGTGGAGTTGATAACATGGGTAAATATGAGTCAAAAGGCAATAAATGTTCAAAAATAAACCTTGGTTTTCTAAACTGTTGCTTCTCTTTTGTCTTTTGAATCTTCTTTAGTGGCAATAAACCTGATTGTGCAGCATATTCAGGACATCCTCAATGGTGACATCTGCAAATGGCAGAGGGGTTCTGTCAATGGACACGCCCACGGGCGGAGTCTAAAGAGGGGCGTGGCTGAACTCAGCGAGAAATCTAGCGGAGGCGGGAGCCTGCCGGCGAAACGCCCCCTACTGGAGCCCAGCACACGACCACATTAACACACACAGAAGAGATTCATACATACGATCAAAAAACCCGAAAGCTTGAATTTTCTGCATGCTTCCAACACACACACATCTCTGTCAGGCTCTCTTTTCATAGAATTAAAAGGAATATTTTTTCCAAAAATTAGAATTTGACGAAAATGATCACACTCTCAGGCCATCCAAGATGCAGATGAGTTTCTTCATGGGAAAAGATTTGGCGAAATGTAGCATTGCATTACTTGCTCACCAATGGATGCTCTGCAGTGAATGGGTGCCGTCTGAATGAGAGTCCAAACGGCTGATGAAAACATCACAATAATCCACAAGTAATCCACACCACTCCAGTCCATCAGTTAATGTCTTGTGAAGTGAAAAGTTGCGTGTCATCAAGTATAATGGCTTTTTAACACACTGCCTTGTCTAGATCATAAACTCCTGTTTGGTCAGGATAAGACGGGAAATGAATGAAGTAAAATACTTCTTGTGAATTACGTTGAATTACGTGAATTTAGTATTTAAAATATTAATCTCACTATCACTTTATTTTTAATGTTCTGTATAATTTATGTTGTTCACCTCACGCTGTAATTTGTTGCTAAATGTGAATATTTTAAAATGGTTCTTTATTTGTAATCAGATTTTGCATTTTTCTTGTACAAACCTTTTTTAAACATTAAAGAGAACATGCTTATGTTACTAAACATCTAATTCTTTTTTGTACATTTTACATTGTGTTTCATAAAAGATAGTGTCAGATAGAAGAAATAATGAAAATTAATTTCATATTTGTACACTGTTTTTCACAGTACTACGAAAAGCACTATACAAATGAAGGTGATGATGTAGCATAGTAATACATTGAAATTAGGGGTGTAACGGTGCGCGTATCGTGTACCGAATGGTTCACGGGGCAAATTCCAAATGGAAGTGATCATTCCTATCCCTTTGGAGTGAGCAGGGCACGTGCGTGCCATTATGCAGTAGTTTTGAATGCACTTGGCAAAGGGAGCGACGTAATTTCCTCCTTATCTTCAGCTGGCATGTTCCCGTGGACACCGGCATAAAAAAAAATCCATTTTATATTTTAAAAAGTTTTATATATATTATTTTTTATATATTATATAGCATTTTTAAAAAACTTTATAAAATATAAAATGTATGTTTATTTGCAACAGTTATGCTAACAACAATAAAAAAAGATTTATGACATTAAAACAGAAGTGCTCGGCAGAAGTGCATAGAGGGCGCATAACGGCCGCAAAGGGGGTGCTCGCGAGTTCGGTACGTTACACCCCTAATGGAAATACCATGGTACTTAAATTACTATTTACACACAAATACCATTGATTATGTCCGAGAAACATGCTATTAGTTCAAGGTATGTGGTAGTACTGTACCATAGTACTGATTCTGAATTTCCAAAAAGAAAAAAAGAATATCCACAAAGAAAATCATGGTATTACTATAACGTGATAGTACCATGATAGTAACTTGATACAGATTGATTACCCTATTCATTGATCATGATATTTACATAATACTCCAAGATACACTATTGTTTGATAGTTTTGGGTCGGTAAGATTTTTCAATGTTTTAGAAAAATGTTTTAGTCTCTTCTGCTCACCAAGGCTGCATTTATTTGACCAAAAAATACAGTAAAAAGTAATATTGTGAAATGTTATTACAACTTAAAATAACCGTTTTCTATGTGAATATGTTCAAATGTAACTGATTTCTGTGATGCGCAGCTGAATTTTCAGCATCATTACTTCAGTCTTGTGTCACATGATCCTTCAGAAATCATTCTAATATGCTGATTTGCTGCTCAAGAAACATTTTTGATTATTATCAATATTGAAAACAGCTGTGCTATCAAATATTTTAGTGGAAACCGTTATGCATTTTTTGATGAATAGAAAGTTCAAAAGAACAGCATTTATTTGAAATGGAATTATTTTGTACCATTATAAATGCCTTTACTGTCATCTTTGAACAATTTAATGCACTGCTGAATAAAAGTAATAATTTCTTTAGTAATGGTACTAGTATGGCACTTTTTGTAGGTGTAAACGTGCTAAATGTAGAGTTGAAAAAATACACATACAATGCAAAGAGCAGTTTTATTGGTGGTTGAATATACAGAATGTTATAGGTATAACAGGGAAAAAATTCCCAGAAGTCGGTAAACATCATAGACGCCACACACACACACACACACACACACACACACACACTGAAGAAAGCAGCTTCAGCTTCCCTTCTCCCATATGTGAATAACGACGTTCTGTAGAAAAACCACATCCTCTCTCACACACACGCACACTCGCACACACACACTCTGATGCCCAGAGATCACAGCAGTCCTCGTGTTTTTTTTTTGCCTCATAAATGTTAGTTATTTTAGTGCATGACTCGTTTGGTTTGAAAATATATTTCCTCTGCCCTCTCTACATGATGGGAGATTATACATCACAACTGTACATGTACATTTATACAGAGCATATCATACACATCCCAAAAAACAAAAAAACATCCACACGCTGACAAACTGAGCCCGCCCCTCTCTGTGATGTCACAGTCTGCTTCGGTAAACGTTAAGGTCATTTTTTGCAATAAACAAAAGATGAAAAAAATATAAATTAGATTTGGATGAAGAAAAAAAGCCATTACGTTTATTTTATTTTATTTTTTTGCATTATGACACTTTATTCATGACAATTAAGCTCGAGATTATATATATATACAGTGGGTACGGAAAGTATTCAGACCCCCTTAAATTTTTCACTCTTTGTTATATTGCAGCCATTTGCTAAAATCATTTAAGTTAATTTTTTTTCCTCATTACTGTACACACAGCACCCCATATTGACAGAAAAACACAGCATTGTTGACATTTTTGCAGATTTATTAAAAAAGAAAAACTGAAATATCACATGGTCCTAAGTATTCAGACCCTTTGCTCAGTATTTAGTAGAAGCACCCTTTTGATCTAATACAGCCATGAGTCTTTTTGGGAAAGATGCAACAAGTTTTTCACACCTGGATTTGGGGATCCTCTGCCATTCCTCCTTGCAGATCCTCTCCAGTTCTGTCAGGTTGGATGGTAAACGTTGGTGGACAGCCATTTTTAGGTCTCTCCAGAGATGCTCAATTGGGTTTAAGTCAGGGCTCTGGCTGGGCCATACAAGAACAGTCACAGAGTTGTTGTGAAGCCACTCCTTCGTTATTTTAGCTGTGTGCTTAAGGTCATTGTCTTGTTGGAAGGTAAACCTTCGGCCCAGTCTGAGGTCCTGAGCACTCTGGAGAAAGTTTTCGTCCAGGATATCCCTGTACTTGGCCGCATTCATCTTTCCCTCAATTGCAACCAGTCGTCCTGTCCCTGCAGCTGAAAAACACCCCAACAGCATGATGCTGCCACCACCATGCTTCACTGCTGGGACTGTATTGGACAGGTGATGAGCAATGCCTGGTTTTCTCCACACATACCGCTTAGAATTAAGGCCAAAAAGTTCTATCTTGGTCTCATCAGACCAGAGAATCTTATTTCTCACCATCTTGGAGTCCTCCATGCGGGCTTTCATGTGTCTTGCACTGAGGAGAGGCTTCCGTCGGGCCACTCTGCCATAAAGCCCCAACTGGTGGAGGGCTGCAGGGATGGTTGACTTCTACAACTTTCTCCCATCTCCCGACTGCATCTCTGGAGCTCAGCCACACTGATCTTTGGGTTCTTCTTTACCTCTCCCACCAAGGCTCTTCTCCCCCGATAGCTCAGTTTGGCCGGACAGCCAGCTCTAGGAAGGGTTCTGGTCATCCCAAACGTCTTCCATTTAAGGAATGGAGGCCACTGTGCTCTTGGGAACCTTAAGTGCAGCAGAAATTTTTTTGTAACCTTGGCCAGATCTGTGCCTTGCCACAATTCTGTCTCTGAGCTCTTCAGGCAGTTCCTTTGACCTCATAATTCTCATTTGCTCTGACATGCACTGTGAGCTGTAAAGTCTTATATAGACAGGTGTGTGGCTTTCCAAGTCCAATCAGTATAATCAAACACAGCTGGACTCAAATGAAGGTGTAGAACCATCTCAAGGACTGTATATATATATATATATATATATATATATATATATATATATATAGCTCCAGCCTTATTCATAAAGCATGAACAATTTTCTTTGTGATTTGTAAAGCTTTTTTATGCATTGAATAATTTAATGATTTTCTGTTTGAATCTTTCATAAAACATTTTTATGTAAACTTGTGAAAAAATTGCATAAAGGCTTTATGAAAAATTTAATTTTTTTTTAAATTTATGTTTTTGTTTTATGAATGTGACCCATTTTTCTGCTTCAAATTAGGATAAATTTAATTCACAGTACAACAAATACTATCACCATTATATTTGTACCTTACAAATGCACTTGTATTGATTTTACTCATTAAATTGATTTTAAATTAACATTTATATTTTTATATTCATGTATTTTTTAATGTAATAATTATTTTTTGCATTTTGGGAAGAAAAAGAAATGTGCATGAAAAGAAAAAGTCATGAAAATAGTCACAATGTAAATTTTTCTTTTTTTTAAGGTAAAAAAAGCATGTTTTTGACGATTTATTTGGAAAATCGAGGGGCTGTCAGCCATGTGACGGGGTAAACCGTTATAATGAGGAGTGCACATGATCACACACAAAACAATATAGCAAGATGATGTGAAAAATTTGTCCAAACGTCCAGTTCATTCTTTAATTTTCAAATTAATATATTCCATATATTCCATTACTCACCGCGTCTGTCAAAACATATTCATTTCAACAGATCAGTGAATATTCCTTATAAAACGCTTATAAGATTGCACACATGTCTGCCTGTTTCCCAATCGACCCATTTCCAAACGGCGAATCGTAGGTTGGACCTTTGGAAGGTCACACGGTATGTCCGAGCGGGACAAACAAACACGAACTCACTCCATCAGGCACAGTGTATTAATATCAAATGATCCATTGTCTTTCTGTACAGCCACACATCAACACACGCAAACATGGAAAGTTGTGAGGATTTAGCTTTATATCACAGCGTTGGGGTCCTCTCGAGCCCTCTGTGCGCGCGCGAGTGCATATCTGTATATCTATACTGAATCGGGATTCCCCTCGTGAGTTTTTAAAGTCAACAGTCAGGGAAAAATACAGCCAATGTCTCAGTTTATTGGTGCAAATAGGAGCTTGCGTGTGTCGGTTCAGCTCCAGAACCGGATTAAGAACTCTAGCATGGGTGAAACAGCCTAGCGTGGGTTCCCAAGGTTCTGCTGGAGGTTCAGGTCTCACCGTAAATTGTCTCGGAGGTTCTAGATTTCAGATTCTAGGTCTTCTCCTCGCGCTCCGTCCTGCGCCGCGAGATGTTTCGTGGTTTGATCTTGAGAGAGAGCTCCCATAATGCCTCCTCTGCCAGGTGATCGCTAAAGTCGTTGAAGAATGAGACGATGTCTTCGTTCCGTTTCAGTTCGTAGTGTCTACAAAGACGATTAAAGATAAAAATTAATAAATGGAACCAATTTTTTAAATCAGTTACTAGTGAAATCTGCAACTGATATATGAAATGTGACCCTGGACCACAAAACCAGTCATAAGTTGCACAGGTATATTTGTAGCATTAGCCAAAAATACATTGTATGGGTCAAAATTATCGATTTTTCTTTTATGCCAAAAATCATTAGGATATTAAGTAAAGATCATGTTCCATGAAGACATTTAGTAAATTTTCTACTGTAAATCTATAAAAACTTAATTTTTGATTAGTAATATGCATTGCTAAGAACTTCATTTGGACAACTTTAAAGGCGATTTTCTCCGTATTTAGATTTTTTTGCTCAGATTCCAGATTTTCAAATAGTTGTATCTCGACCAAATATTGTCCTATCCTAACAAACCATACATCAATGGAAAGCTTATTTATTCATATGATTTATAAATCTAAATTTCGAAAAATTTACACTTATGACTGGTTTTGTGGTCCAGGGTCACAGATGGATATAACATTAAATATTAAGAAATTTTCTAATAAACTAATTCATATTAATGTGCATAAATAAAAATCGTACACATTTTAAAAAACGCATAGTTCCAGCTCTAAAATATATGGGGGAAAAAAATAATGTTTTGGTAAATCATAGTTATACATATTTATCTTATTTCGACTTTTCGAATAGTTTTTTTTTTCTGGCCATAATCGTTCATAATTCTGATTCTTTATTTCGTAGTGACTCAGTATCTCAATTTTTAATTTCTATGTCATAATTATGCCGCCTTATGTCAATTTTGACTTGGTGGAAAATTACTGACTTGGTCATAATTATGTTTTTTGTCAATTTCATCATTTAATCTCATAATGACTCAGTATCTCAATTTCGACATATGTCAATTATTTTTAATGGTAATTTTGAGGTTTTATGTCAAAATTGTGTATTTTATGTGATAATTATAACTTTTTTCATAATTGTTTTTGTCAATGTCTTTTTATCTCTTGACTCTTGTATCTCATAACTTTGACTTATGTTATTTTCATGTCAATTATTATTTTTTGTCAATCATGGCTGTCATAATTGTCATAATTCTGACTGTCATAATCAATATGACTGCCATTATTGTTTGTCATAATTTTGACTTTTTATCTCATAATGACTTATAACTGTTTTTTTTTTAATGTTTTATGTGACAATTGTGCATTTTCTGTCATAATTATGACTGTCATAATTGTTTGTTTTTTTGTCCTATCCTAACAAACCATACATCAATGGAAAGCTTATTTATTCATATGATTTATAAATCTAAATTTCGAAAAATTTACACTTATGACTGGTTTTGTGGTCCAGGGTCACAGATGGATATAACATTAAATATTAAGAAATTTTCTAATAAACTAATTCATATTAATGTGCATAAATAAAAATCGTACACATTTTAAAAAACGCATAGTTCCAGCTCTAAAATATATGGGGGAAAAAAATAATGTTTTGGTAAATCATAGTTATACATATTTATCTTATTTCGACTTTTCGAATAGTTTTTTTTTTCTGGCCATAATCGTTCATAATTCTGATTCTTTATTTCGTAGTGACTCAGTATCTCAATTTTTAATTTCTATGTCATAATTATGCCGCCTTATGTCAATTTTGACTTGGTGGAAAATTACTGACTTGGTCATAATTATGTTTTTTGTCAATTTCATCATTTAATCTCATAATGACTCAGTATCTCAATTTCGACATATGTCAATTATTTTTAATGGTAATTTTGAGGTTTTATGTCAAAATTGTGTATTTTATGTGATAATTATAACTTTTTTCATAATTGTTTTTGTCAATGTCTTTTTATCTCTTGACTCTTGTATCTCATAACTTTGACTTATGTTATTTTCATGTCAATTATTATTTTTTGTCAATCATGGCTGTCATAATTGTCATAATTCTGACTGTCATAATCAATATGACTGCCATTATTGTTTGTCATAATTTTGACTTTTTATCTCATAATGACTTATAACTGTTTTTTTTTTTATGTTTTATGTGACAATTGTGCATTTTCTGTCATAATTATGACTGTCATAATTGTTTGTTTTTTTGGTCATCACTTCAACTTTTTACCTCATGTTAATTATTTTTGGGTTCAGTATTTCAAAATTATGACTTTTATGCAATAATTATGATTAACTAATTAATTAAATGATGTTTAATTTGACCACGGTCTTTCATGCCTCGTTGCTTCATTCTACAAGTCTGTTAGAGCAAAGTCTACGGCAGAGTTTTGGACTGCAGCTTGAATCGCATGTAATCTAATCTCATGTTCGTCAAACGCTGGGTTTCAGGCAGATAACTCACACTTGCTGGAAGCGCCTCATGCTGTCCAGAATGTTGAACTGCTGCCAGCGCTTGGAGAAATTCACTTTACCGTCAATAAAATCCGGGTTTCCGAGGTGAACGAAAGTCAAGTCCTGTAGGATCAAACCCCTGTCAACAAAACAACATTATTAGCAAAACTAAAACATGGAACATTAAACAATCTTCAATAACTAGCATGTATATATATATATATATATATATATATATATAATTCACATCAGATTAATGCAGTTTTGAATGTTTATTTTTATTGATACATTTTTAATGAGCTATATTTTAGTTTAGTTGTTTTCAGAAGCGAAATGAGTTACTGTTTAGTTTTATTTAATAAAGTCATGTTTTGCTGAAATTCAGCAGACGTTTAGAAAACATCAGATGGGCATGTCAGTGTTTGTTATTGGCAACAAAATCTATTAAAAATCAGTTTCAGTAAATACAATAAAATGAAAAAGTGGAAAAATAAGATGAAAAACTAACTTAAATGAAAATGAGAAACGTTGCCTTGGCAACTAACTAAAATAAGTTTCTTGAAGAAATAAAATGACAAAAAAAAAAATAAAGCTTACATTTTTTTTAAAAACCTAATAAAAAAATGACAAAAGCACAAAGCAAAATGACTAAACTTTCATCTAAAATTAAAACGAAAACTGAAAATATGAAATTAAAAGGTCATTTAAAATATTAATAAATACATAAATAAAACTAAAACAACACTGGTGCTTAAAAACTGTTTGTTGTAGAAATAAAATGACTGAAACAAACAAAGCTAAATAAAATAAATAATAATAAAAAACTAATAAAAATGACAAAAGCACAAAACAAATGTACTAAAATTTAAAATTAAAATATAATAATTGAAAGGTAATTTAAAATCATAATAAATACTATAATAATACACAAGTAATACTAAAATAACACTCGGGCACATATTTTTATTCAAAATTCAATGTCATGAACCTCAGAAAAAATGTGTGCTTCTGTGACTCTCAAAAGCTGCGAAACGGGCAGATTTCACTAGACAGTCCTTGGCACTAGACAAGCCGTCTTTAATGAGCACAAAATGCTTTATTTGCCGATTCATTACTTAATCTCAGTTCATTTTCGGACTCCTGTTTTTTATTTTAGTAGAGTTTAGTTTAGTTTTACACACAAACTCACAGGTATGGTATGCATGGAGGCTCCACTTCTGCTAGCGCCGCTCTGTACGCTCGGAAGGACGAAGAACTGTCAATCAAGGTGCAGTACTCCTCCAAACCCTGGAAACACAGAGAAAGACGAAAGACAGTCTTTTCGTATTTCACATGATTGGCTACTACTGGATGATTTTCTTCAGTTGTGTTAGGTTTGGCAGTGAGAAGGAAGTCAGACTGGTGTGACTGACCTCAGACGTCTGTTTCTGCCATTCCAGTCGTCTGATTGGTGCAGAGTCCAGCGCCGAGAGAATCGCCAAATAAGAGTTGAAGTTATTCAGTTTCCGCAAGTGCTACGAGCCAGACAAAACCATTAAATCACTCAGAAAACACAGAGAGTGATGCATTCAGAATCACCCCACAGCCACAAATAGAGCCTAAAGCAGTTTAGAGTAATTGATTGTGGATGATCGAGATTTTGGCGTGGTAATGTTCACATGTGTGTGTGTTACTCGTGTTACCTTCATGATTTTGATGAATTTGAGCAGCAGTTTCTCTCTGTCCTGAGCTTTCTCCTGCTGGATGATGATAGAGCGCACCCTAGTGGACAGGAGGAATCACATTTCAGTACACACATGGACGACAGAGATATTGAGCGAGTATGGGGAATACGTAGTAGGGCATGAGGGTGGAATAAGGGGTTACAGCTTGATAAAAAACTATTGTCATATCATATACACACAGAATCTCAAAATTCTTGATGGTAGCCTGTCAAAATAAAAGTTAAAGGGGTCATATGATGTTGCTAAAAAGAACTTTATTTTGTGTATTTGGTGTAATGCAATGTGTTTATGCGGTTTAAGGTTCAAAAAACACATTATTTTCCACATACTGTACATTATTGTTTCTTCTCTATGCCCTGCCTTTCTGAAACGCATCGATTTTTACAAAACTCATCGGTCTGAAAAGCGAGGTGTGTTGTGATTGGCCGAATACCTCAAGCATGTGACGGAAATGTTACGCCCCTACCATACTGTGATGATGCCCTGTCCGGCCGGAGCGACGAGACATAAACATTAAAACCCATTACAAACGAGGTATTTGTTGCATCCAGTGGGAACATAATTACTGATTATATTGAGTGAGTGAGTGAGTGACGTGACATGTGGCCAAGTATGGTG